GGGGGGGGGGGGGGGGAACATCAGTTTTAAATGAGGGACGACGATGATCACCATTTATGAGTTCATGAAAAATTTAAAGGGGCAAAAATGCGCACAATAGCAAAAAAAAAAAAAATTGTAATGCGCAGCTCTGTACATTCCATTCATACAAGCTGTGTTAATATAAAATAAAAAATGGCCAAAATGGCCAAAATAAAAATAATTACAACAACTGTATTTATATCTAATTGCATAAACGTGGATCCAGCCGGGAAATTGAATAAACGCGAACACACCATTGGTATGTATAAAGATCGTTAATCCACTGGTAATCTTGGTTCTGTAACTGTAATCGGATCATGCTCTCTACGGATTTACTCCGTGTGTTTCAGGTTCGGCGGTCTGATTGGATTTGTGGTCGGGCCTGGATTTAGTATTAAGAAGGATGGGTTGGACACTCACCGTTCTTGGGGTGGCTTTAGCCATTGCCGTCGTGGCTAGCGCCGCCCTAACATTCTCCAGAAGAAGGTAATTGTACAACATCGTTTTAACAAACACCGTTCGTTGATAGCTGACATATCGACTTGACGATAATAACTTTTTTAATTCACGGAGAAATTTTATCGTTGCCGGTCTTAAGCTTATAGATGTACGTTATTTCTACAAAAGATTATTAAATATAATTATTGCATTAACTGACTAAGCATAATATAATTCATTAAAGTTCTAGTATCATAGAAAAACAATACTATGAATAAATGTTTATAGATGTACGTTATTTCTACAAAAGATTATTAAATATAATTGTTGCATTAACTGACTAAGCATAATATAATTCATTAAAGTTCTAGTATCATAGAAAAACAATACTATGAATAAAATGCTTATCTCCTTGAAAAAGTCATCGTTTCTCTTGAAGTCCTAAAGTTTTCTAAAATTTTGAGCAACAGCGTATACCATTTCTAATAACCAAACTGCGAATATTAATTTTTCATATTTGCGAATGTAAATTTATATCTTCTGGGAATTCATATTGGAATGTAATTAACTGAATTTTTGCTGACGAACTATTAATTCAATTTCAATTATTTATAAATATATGTTTGTTCAGATAGATGAAATTCATTTTATCATTCAATAATGTCCGAATGATAAAAGGTTTTTCTAAAAATTTTAAAAAGATACAGTGTTGTTTGTAATAAGAGGCGTTGATTGATGATCAAGTAGATTTAGAATTGAATAACAGGATGGATAAGGCGTAAGAGTCAGGCTATTGCTAATGGCTTCCATCCCTCTCCCGTTCGTTCTTCCGTAAAAGACCGATAGTAACAATTCTTACAATTGTACAGGCCGGCTGTATCCATGATAGCTCAAAGAGTCTTTCAAGTGATAACCTCGAGTGATGTTTTCTTGTTTCTGTATTTTCTCTGCATTACACAACAGGTACATCCGCGAAGACCGGTAAATGCAACACGTGCAACAGGTTAAAGGGTCATTCAGCTACCAATTGTATCAGAAACTTCCTGTCTTGCCCTTTTCTGTCTTCGAGTTCATTCCTCGTCGCGTAAAACGATCCCTTCGCGTAGAAACGAGGCAATATTATACGAAACATGATAACGGGCATCGTTCATCGTCAGATTCGTTAAAGGACAAAGCACGAACCTGAGAATTTATAACAAACGTAATAACAAGTTGCCAGCCAGAAGTTCGTGCTTTCAATTCGATTGTCGAAGCTACGATTATTCTACTAGCTCTAGGCACTTCTCAAATAAATCTTATTCGTTGAAAAAGTTCTGCTCGGTTAGTTTTGATTTTTGTACAACGATACTTTTAAGTTTTAATCGTTAAATATAGAAAAGTATGAAAAAAATTAATATATAAGAGCCAATGCAGTAGGATATACTACAACTTAATGAACAGTTCTTTTCATTAGGGCAAAATACTTAGAACAAACGAATATGTTACAAAAAACACGAATAAAGCATATGTGCAAGAACAATTTAAGCATGTGTGCAAAATTTAACAACAGACTAAATTTATAATACATTTATTATATAACAAATGAATTCTATAACGTACAAAGTTAACGAGTTAATTCATTATAGAATACCCTCTTGTACATACATGTAAATTTATAAATCATTCAGATATGGGAGGTAGAAATAAAAAAAGGACTAACCTAAGCCCTTTTCATGCGAGATCTGTTAAATGACTATTAACCGAGAATGCAGCGAAATTTTATTTCACCTTTAATATCGCGCTTACGAAAATTGATTTTCCTCGCTGACCCCTTTGACGAGCGCACATCTCTATTCACTTAATAATAGCATATTCCCACGTGCTTGCGAGTACGCTATTAGTCTACCATAGGATCGAGCGCTCCGTGTGACCAAACACTTCTCCTACTCTCATATCGGATGTTAAAAAAAAAAAAAAAAAAAAAAAAAAAAAGGAAGAAGAAGAAGAAAAAAGAGGAGAAAAAAATGACTAGATTCATGACACTTTTATTACAACGTAGAATTGTTCGATTAATCAGAAACCAATGGACCCGTTAAATGTCAATATTTTCAATAATTTTCGAGTATCTTAGCCCCATATCGTAGCCTAAAAAGCTTCCACCAGTGATAACACGATTGTTCCACCTCGATATAATACTGCAAAAACTTGCCGAATTTCCGATCATTTTTAAGCCGTAACTTACCTACGACTGCTACTAACGATTGTTTGGAATGTAGATATGTCTTGCAATGTAGATATTGTATCAGCTGGCAATGGGACACTAGAAACATCTGGAACATCTGCGAGGAATGGCGACAGAAACTTTCTTGGTTGTGGGCGCCGCGGGAAGAAAAGGTACACTATAAAAAGGGAAAGATAGATCTTTGAAAAATTAAAGATTTCTCATTGAAAAGATTGAAATTACTACGTCCTCTTACGATGGATTTTTCAGGTCGGTTTAGTGAAAGCACAACATCCAACGGCCCAGACAATCCCCGGTTTGTATCGGCAACCTGGGAACACGTCCCAGCATCTGCTTCACAGCGACAGCGACCTGAGACTTGATGCACAGGGAGCTTTCACCAGGTACAGTCAGCTAGCTGTAAAAATAAATTCAGTAATGACAGTATTATGTCCGAAATAATTCGCTGGCATTCTTTGACAAAAGTGGAACAGAGCGATAATGAATCTTATTTTGTGTTGTTAATCGAATCGTGAAAAAGTCAACAATTCAATACTATATATTAGCGTCAGTTATGATTCGGTGGAGAACATTGTGCGTTAATTTTGTTATGATAAAGGATCGTCGTCAAAGCGTTGGCTAGATATTGGCAATTATGCGTGATGCGATCGTGACACAGCAGTAACTTTTTTCCGGAACGAGCACTTAAAATAATTAGGTGAAACCATTAATAGCTCGAATAACTTACAATCGAATAATAATGGCGTTATTAAAAATATTAAATTTTAATAATCCGTTATTATTAGAATAATAATCGACGCGTGGAATCGACTCGTTGTTTCTACAATAAATAATTCTTCCAACGTTAAATCTTTCGTCGAGGAACAGTAGTTAATACTAATATACCGAGAGTCAAGAGCAAATCAATTTGACGGCCATAGATTGCATCTATATTTGTAACGAAAATTGTGCGACCTTTTTTCAGTAAGCACGCGATGTCTAACCAGTCGGTTAATCGATACTTAATATTTAATGCGACAACGAGTCGAGACCGCGATACTGTAAAATTAAACTCGCATTTCACGTCGCTGTCGTACGGCCGGTATTTAATATTTGACAAACAGTTCAATTTAATATATTGCGCCAAATTAGAAACAATTATTCGCGTGAAATTACGTTATTAACAACGCACCCGTGGTAGAATATAATAATTTAGAAAATACGAAGTACAATTTAGAGAGTAAGAATAAAATGAATGAACAAACGTGAGTAGATTTTCAAACGCGGAAACTGTCTCGCAAAGTCGCCAGCTTACGAACTAAAGAGAACAAAAGTGCTCGAACGAAACAAAGAGAAAGAAGGCCTCTCCGTCTGAAGTTCTGAAAAGACGATATAACTCGCGACATTTGCAGGTTCGAACCGGTGGACAGAGATCTCCATCCGCCTCTGGGCACCACCACCGGCAGTACGATACCGCCGCAACCCTTAAGACCAGCACCTCAACCAAGGCCAACTGCTCGTCCAAGACCGTCTCCACTTCAAACCTCGAGTACCGTAGACTACCTGAGAATGCAAGAGGCTGGTCCGATACCTCTGACACCACCGCCATCGTTGCAGAGACCATCGGTACCGTCGAGATCCACCGGCCCGTCGGTCTTCCTTTTCCAGAGCGAACCGATGAAAAATTACGGTCTGCACAAGCCATCGACCGACCACGGTTCGTTCAGATTCGACGGCGAGGCAACGAAGACCATGACGGAGAGTATTCAAATGACACCGTACGGCTCGCAGAATCACGTCGACCCGGCGAGACTGAGATACGAGTTCGAGGAAGAACTAAGGAAAGAGCAGAACAGGCACAATCCTTACAGACAGTTCGATACCGGGATCGAGTCGACCAGGATCAGATACGGTGTACACGGTGTGCCTATAGCTACCCTGGATGATAAAGGGGACGAGGATGGCAACACGAGCTACGGTAGCTACGACATCGTCCAAAGGAGTCGCATAATACGGCAACATGTCCGGAATGACTCGAGAGGCTCGCCAAGCAGTTTCGGTATGACGAATTCTTCGAATGCCGCCAGCCAGACTACCATGGAATCGATATACGGGTCCGAGGAGCTGCCTAAGATGTTTCAGAGCACTCAGAGTCTCGGTAACGACCTCGATCGCAAGAGCAACGAGATGCAAAGCATCGAGATGACACCCTTTAGAAGCTCCAGCCTTCAGGAGAACATCGGCCCGTCCTACTTGTTCCGCGAGTCTCAAGGGTTGCAGAAGGTCTCGCAATATATTCAGAGCCTGCCGGACCTTCCGATATACAACTCGATCAACGAACTCGCACTCCATCAAGATCAGGATCGCGTGCTCTACGACGACACGATTCAGGAATCGATCAACGCGTTGAAGGTTAACAGCGAGACGGCCTCCAGTCCGATACCGCCGCCACCCGCGCCGCCTGATCCGCCGAAAGATGTGCCAAAAAAGAACGGACAGACAACCGGCGAGAGAATATTCAACGCTCTTAGATTGGTCACATCGCAGAGTTATATCGACGCCTCAGAATTTTATAAGTACGTTCCATGCTCTTTTCCTAATGCGAACGATAATAACGGCAACATATAAGATACATTCGTTTAAATTTTTACATTTGAAATTTTCTTAAGACCTCCCTCTTTACTTATTAGAATGGAAGCAAAGATTGAAATATAAAAGTTCAAGAATTCTTAATTATTCTGTTAGAGAGAAAGAGACAGCTAAAAGTTTCTTCTACGTATAAACAGTAACAATTTTGCTCCTGATTATCGTAGCTCGGTCGTATCCTCGGCACAAGTTCAACGTTTCACGTTCTCATCGAGATCTCCGTCGTTGGTGGAGGAAAGCACTGGTAACCAGTTGCAGGATGAAGTTCAAGACATTTACGCGGAGAACGATTCTGACATGATAGGTCCTGATGGCTCCAGACGTAGTTCTGATCTTTACAGTCCTGAACTCAATTTAGAAGCACACAGAACTGCGCAAGAGGTACGTGTTGATTCTAAGATGACATTAAAAATTATTATTCAATTTATTTCAATTACGATATAGGTATACAATAGTTTACAAGATCCACCGTCGTCGCCATTGTTACTTAAAGATCACAATCAAGAGATTTACACGTACATGACTGATCCTAGCTTCACAAGAACCTCGGAGGTACGACTATAATCTATTATTGATCTGATTGTATTGTAAAGTTCATCCGATAAATTATCTCATCATATTTTATTTATTTCCAGGACATTTTAAATAGCATCGAGCAGAGAAGGAAAAGTATGGAGAGATTGAACGGTATCCAGGAATTCAATGAACTCGATGATGATGATTCATTAAGGTAGTTCTAAATATACGACAACTTCATCGATCTTCGTTAAAAGAAAAAAGAAAAGAAATTAATTCTTTATCTTCGTCTCGCAGGAAAAGAAATAATCACGACTTTTATGCCGCACTAGAAGAAGCTCAATTGAAGAGAAAGTTCTCTCAGGTACAACAACTTTATTCGACATTTAACATAGTTAACTTTTTCAGTGTCCGGACGATTTCATTAGAATTATGTGTGCACAGACATTAGGCTTCTTGTCCACATAAAATAATTTATTATTATATTTTTAGATAAGGACAACAGTTCTTCTCGTTTTTTATGCTGGCAAGAAGTCCTGACGTCTATCGTGCTCTATCACGACGCGATAGTTTAGTGTTGTCTTTCTCGGCCGCTGACTTGCGTACCTGTTATGTTTGGTGTCTCCTAAAAACAGGTGGCATCGATATCTATAATAATTTCACAGTTTTTAGAGAAACTATGTCAGAGCGTTCAATCAAACGTTCAAAGTGATTGGCCCACACTCGCCATCACTTTTCTATAAAAAAACAGGCCCGCCGTCAGCGGGGAAGACAGTGTTAGTGCAATACAATTAGTGCAACATACAATACAGTGCGTCAGTGCGTATCACTGCGTACGAAAATACAATCACTCAGTGACAGTCAGTGCATTGTCACACAATTCGAGCTATAGTTATTATCACCACTGTAGGTAATCGCTATCTCAGCAGCTGTGAAATATTACGTCATATTACTATCACACTTATCTATTATACAGTCCACTTCTCGCGATCTCCGATCATCTATCGGAATCGTGTCATTCCCTCTTCACAATACTTCACACACGGTCGTTATCCGCCGTGGCATCGCGCCGCAATATTCAGTATATAATTTTCTTTATATAAATCCACATACGAAGCGTCGTTGTAGGTGCAGATTATGTAACAATCTCTTTGTACATTTTCTATCGTAAAAGCTCGTACTTAATTATGAAAAGTCAAAATATCAGTTCAAGGCAAAGCATTCGTGGCAAAAGTGACGAGTGCCAACAGGATTAGGCAAATACTTTACGATATTTTATTAGTTTCTTCACGTTGAGATACAATTCGATCTGCAGAGTTTCATCGCGAATTACACCATGAACGATTACAATGACATCAACCCTGGAAGTCGTCGTGGACCCCAGGGACCTGATCCAGAACCTCCGCCGGATGAATCGAATCTGAAGCGGGCAGTAAGTTGCGAAAGCGTATGCTCCGACACGAGTGTAGTGTTAAACGACCTCGAAGAAGCGCCTATCGTCGGCCACGTGTGCGTCGGTGTCCAATACGACAGATGGAGTGGTCGGAGTGCTGATAGCGAGGGTGATCTCGCGGTCAGCGTCCTCGAAGCCAGAGATCTCATCACACCGGATGGACAACCTGCTCAAGATACTTTTGCTAGGTTTGAACATTCCATGAAACGTATTCGATCAAATACACGTGCAACGTTTGAGATTACTTGCCGATTAAATTGTTTTTAGAATGAAATTTGATTTGACATATCGTCAAAAAAATTACGAGTAAAGCCGACAGAAGCACTTAGTTTTTTTGCCTAAGTTAATAATCTACTTTGTACACGTTGAATTTAACTAACGAGAAGTATTTACTCCTTTTAGAGTTTGTCTGTTGCCAAACAGAGAATTACACGTGAAAACGAGACTGTACAGAAGAAGTCCATCGCCTAGTTATCAAGAAAATTTTCTGTTCCCTCTGGACGATGGTCCCAGTGGAAGAACTCTTCTCGTCGAAGTATGTTATCAATAAAAAAAAAAAAAAATCACTCGTCGAAATACAAAAACTGCTTAGCGAGCATATATAATGTAACATGAATGTCAAATTTTTAAGATATTCTCCGATGAGACCAGTATCGGTGATGGAACGAGCCTCATCGGAGAAGCTAGGTTACGTCTAGGACCCGCTTCAAGAGCACCTGCGACTACATGGTTACCACTTTTGGGGTCAGCTTTGCCTACGCCAAAACTCGGGGAGTTAATGTTCTCTTTAAGTTACTTACAAACGGCTGAAAGGCTTACCCTGGTGGTTGTGAAGGCCAGGAATTTACGTGGCGCCAATGCAGTAGCCGGTGATTTCTTCGTTAAGGTGATTATACAGCAAACAGCACGACCGTATTAAAAAATAAAAACATTTTAAATAAAGTTCCATTGAGTCTAAAATAAACTTAAACGCTCTGTAATTAAAGTAGACTAAACAATATTATCACGATGATCACATATGATCCGAATCATACATGACTGATTCAATGACAATGTTCCAAAGGTGTACTTGCTACAACAAGGAAAGAAGATTCACAAGAAGAAAACATCTGTGAAAAAAGGAGAAGAAAGTCCAATATTCAACGAGGCAATTATTTTTAACGTGCCCACTCATACTCTGCAGGTACTGAATAATTTTGAATTATCAAAATTTGCTATACGTATATCGTGAAGAATATCGCGTACCAACTACTGGTTTCTTTCATCTAATTTCAGAACATACAGATAAGACTAACTGTAGCGGAAGTGAACAATGACCAGGGCGTAAATTCGAAGCCATACTCCGTCGGACATGTGATCGTGGGACCCACGTCGGCAGGAAGAGCGTTCGTTCACTGGAGACAAATGTTGGCTGCTCAAAGGCGCCCTGTTGCCATGTGGCATCCGCTCAGAAAATGAAAGGAACAGGAACGATGTTGAACGAAAATGTAGGAACAAAAATCTACATGGATTTAAAGTATATTTGGAGAACGGAGGCGTTCATACATAGACATAATGTTATAGCAAATTATCCTGATGCTCCTCCGGGTTTTGAACTGTTCACTTTTTAAAGATCACTTGGATTCGTACAAAATCATCGAAAGAGTACATTAAACG